GTGGCTTTTCTTCTTCCTGCTTGCACGCCTCCCAGCCTCACCACCGCCATCCCAGCACGACTTTCTGCAGCTTCCAAACCATGGAGGTAGGATGCCAAGTCTGCCGGCAGTGGCTGCTCTGAGAGTACGCTCTATGGTTATATGCTCTGGGAGTACACTCTGCCAGCAGCTGGCCCATAACCATAGAGTGTACTCCCAGAGCAGCCACTGCTGGAAGACTCAGCATCCTACATCCATGGTTTGGAAGCCACAGATAAAGCCATACTGGGACGGCGGCAGTGGTGGGCGGCAGCGAAGGTGCTCCGGCTCTGCAAGGAGAGTTGGGCAATGGCATTGTGAGGATGGGAGGCGTGTGAGCGGGGAGCGGAAAAGCTGCTTGCGCAACCCCCCTTCTTGAGCCATGCAGAGCCCCATTCACTGACCTAGGGGCATTCCAAAGGTGCCAAGTTGCGGGAGCCAGGGGGCGGCAAACAGGCACTCATGCGGCTTGGCGATACCCCTAGGTCAGTGAATGGTGCTGTGCCTGGCTGGAAAGAGGGTTTGCCAGGTGGCTGCTCGTGAGCATGTCACTTCATGGCTGCTATGTTGCACTGCTGCGACAGCGCAACACAGTTGTTCGACCCTGAGGCTGTGCCTGGCTCTTCAGGAGCCCACTCACAAGACAGCAGCTGCCCGGCAACCCCAAAACAATAAGGCCTCCCCTGATAATAAGGCCCAAGCCATATTTTGTGGGTCAAAAGAAAATAAGACTCTGTCTTATTTTCAGGGAAACACGGTAGCTTCAGTACATGTTCTTCACTTTCCTTCAGATATTCTTCTAATACCATTTTTTAAATTCAACTGACTGGTGTAGTTGCAACAATCATGTCCACTCATTTTCCTTGGCATATAGAGCCTGTGAACATTGCTGAACGAACATCTTTATTTTTCTAGTTTTCCTATCCATGGTTTTTAGTTCTGCTTTCCTCCATTCTGTTATCCTATGCATTCAATGACTAGAATTGCTGAAGTGTTAGTTTTTTGGTAGTATTTTCTCCATTTAGTTTGGACCTTAAGATACTCTTGTACTGTATTCAACTTCTAACCTTCACTTTAACTTTAGTTTACTTGATTGTGTCAGCTTGAATGATGTCCAGGTACCAGATCATGTAATGATACAGCCATTAAATAAAAAGTAGCTATATTCAAAGCTAAAACAAAAGGGATTATATTGGAACCAGGCATGTTATACGCTATTTAACTAGTATTGGATGGATGTCAAGTCAGTCACTCATTCAGTCACATACATACAATAGCAATAGCAATAGCA